GCAAAGATGGGAGCATAGCTCATAGGTTTCTGCAGTGCTGCAGAGCTGCTGACTACTTAAGGTTGTCTTCATAGTCATGTTGATAGAGTTCCAACGTCAATCTTCTGTAGCAAAAAATAGATTCCATCAAAAATAAAGTTCTTTGCTGATAAATTAAACCAGATTTTCAAGAGGTTTTGGCAAAATATATATGAGGACTTTCATACATCGCTGTTACATTAGCTAGAAGGTGTGATATTTTTTTCTCTCATGCTCTTAAGTGGCAGAGCTGGGCTAGCAAAAATTCAAATATAGACCAAGCTTAAGCATGCAAGTTGTATTTTACCATTACTCCTCAAGCTGTGAGTATGGCACATTGAAGATCACTTCACTTCCGCAAGCAGCAGATGAAATGAAACATCCATTAACTTTTCATGCACAGAAAGGGTAATAGTGGCTGCAGAAAGGAGCTGACAATTTATTTGAATACCAGTCATTGCAGCATGGTTACAGCAGTGTTAGTGCTGTACTGCAGCCAGCAGTCTTTAGAGTGGGAATTTTGTCTCTCTGTATGCATCAAGGTTTGTGAAATGCATCAAGAAATGATCTTGTGACAGTTTCTAGAGTCAAGTCCTCAAGCAGGAAATGTCTTTCCCCCGAGCTATCACTGCTCCTCTTCTGGAGCTGTGGCTTACATGAGCTATGCTCTCCTATTTGCTAACTGGAACTGGTTAGATTCTTAATCCTGAATGCCCATCGCATTTTTCCTTTGTTTTTGAAGGTCACCACTCAAGAAGATACTGTCATGTATTTGAATTCAACCAGGTGATTATTATTATATTTTGGTGTAAATAATAATACTTTCCATCCTAAAAGTGAGCCTTATACTTTATTGCTGTATCGTATTCCATACTGATGTGTGATACATAGGGTAAATATGCTTCTGGTGGAGTCAGAAACTTAATCTTAATTGCGTAGCACTCTTAGTATGAGTTGTGTTGTCTCAAGTCAAGCAAAGCTCATTCTGAGTGCTTCTAGAGCGTTCTCCAGACTGCAGGGTCTGCTTATAAGGATTTTCTATTACTCTCCTTCATCTGCCCTTGCAACAGCCCGAGTTTTCCCATGCCCCTCTCTACACCCCAGGCTGGGAGTTGCTCTCCCTGCAAGTTTGCCATCCTCCTCTCCTTCAAAATTCCTTCTCAGCTCACGCTGCTGCTGGGAAGCTCATCTGCTCTGACCCATCCTTGAAGGGAAAAAAAATGAGGGAAGGGAAAGGACACAAAGCAAAGCTATGTATGGTGTGATCACTGGAAGTCCTAGGGCTTTTTGCCTCTGCTGTGATGCTTGTCTCCCTTTGCTGAAAGACGCTCTGGGCAGGGACTCAGACTCCATCCCAGCAGGCAGACTCACAATGACAGGAATCCAAATTCTAAATGGCATCCTGTCTCTGGAGGGACTCCCAAGGCTTTCAGTTCATTGCCAAATTCACTGCAGCCTTAACCCCTGACAAAGGAGCTCATTCCAGGCAAGCACCAAGAGAAGGCGCAGAGCAATCCAGCTTTAAACAGCCATGCTATTATAGCAGTTGCTCTGCATCATTTCAAATAAAATGTACTTTAAAAATACATAAGTATTAACAAAAAAAAAAAGGGCTTCAGTGACTTGTTAAAGAAAGATGAACTAAACTTTGGATATAAGGAAAAAGGTTTTTACAATAAAGGTAGTGAGGCACTGGCTCAGGTTTCCCAGAGAAGTGGTAAATGCCCCATCTCATTCAAAATTAGACTGGGAGGGACTCTGAGCACCTGATGGAGCTGTAGGTGTCCCTGTTCACTGCAGGGAGTTGGACTGGATGACATTTAGGTCTCCCTTCCAACTCAAACAATTTTAATTCAAAATTCAAATTCATCTTATGGAGATATTAACCAGTCAAAGGGAAAAGTTACACGAACAGATCCCCACTTGGTCTCTGTTACAGGAACTTGAGCAGCAGGGAGGTCTGCAGGCTGCCTCATGATGGGAAGCTGTGAATGGCCTTGGCCAAGAGTCTCTGCTGCTGTTGGGCATTGGTTGTATGTGGACTGTGCTGGGCAGTTAGGGTGCAAATACTTCCCAGCTAGGACTGTCACCATGCATTCACAAGGTGCCAAGCAAGAAGGCCCTGAGTTATTTTGGTTCTGGTCACGCAATAGGAAAAACTAATGATGTCCTGAGTTAATGCATGAAGATTGGGTGTTACAGGTGATGTGAAAAGAGAATATAGCTAGGAGGCCCTACTTGTATATTTTTTGCATCTGCAAGAAGCCCTGGGCTGCAGCTGAAAAACAGCCACTTGTGTTAAAAAAAAAAAAACAAAACTATATAGCTATTTTTATGGCACAGAGTTGTTTTGGACAGGATATGAAGAATATTAAATCTGATTGAAAATATAACAACAGCCGAGGTGGGAAGGATGCAATTATTCAAATTGTAGCTTGGCCAGGATGCCACTAATACCTGGGATAAAGTGCCACCAGGCTGTCGATTCCCTTCAGTGTCCAGGACATGGATCCAGCAGCCCATCCAGAGATGGCACCTCCTCCACTGAAGGACTGCAATATACTTTCCATTTCACTTAACAGTTTCCTTCTCCAAAGTTGCCTAAGCCTCAACTTATTACCTTGCAATAGCTCCCCAAAACTGTGTGGCTGGAGGAATAGATGACATCCTTAAATTCACATGATACATGTGATGAGTTCTAAAGCCTCTTTTTTTCCATGGGATGGGAACAGCTAGTTCTCACTGGATTCTGCTCCTGGTTGTGCTATTCACTGGCTCTCCCTGAGAGAGAAAGGGTTTGCAAGAGTAAGCTGACAAACCCATCTCTGGGTAAAAGAAATCTTTTTTCCTTTTTCACTAGAAGCAATTCATGGTTCTATATCTGAAAGCTGCTTTTTATTGAATATATAATTACTACAATCCAGAAATGGCCTCCAAAGTGCCACGAAGTTGCATTTTAAATATATGTTAATCTTTACATCACATACGGCCTTCTTGTTTCCTGCGTTTACAATTCCTTCCACTCATAAGAACTGTTTTTTATTTACACCTCTGTGAAAACAGAATCAATTCCTCCATACGCACTGTTGCATATTCTTTGGAGAGAATATATTGATTGAAAAGCATTCTACCAGTCTTATTAATCTCAAGCAGTATTGACTATGTACAGTTGCATGTACCAGTTGTACATGTAGAAAACTCACAAAATAACAATATCAATAATATTCTTTAACAGAAACAATCATTTTATAAATAATGAATGTGCTATATTGAATTCTACTGATATTTGGGGCACTTTTTTACTTTTACAGGCTCTGTGTCCAACTTTGTTGACACCAATATAAATAAAAAATAAATCTGTTGCATTCAACGCAGTTACATTCGTGCTAGAGCCAATATATGAGAGTCTTAGAGCAGTCGTTTGTCAAATGAGAAAGTAGGACATAGCATAAGTACCATCTGTGGAGGGTGATTCATAAGACAAGAATGCAGCATAATCAGTTAAATAAATACTACCCTTGTGCTTTGTACTCTAAATGGACCTTACTCCAGCACAAATCATAATGCAAGGTCAAAGCAATTGCAGTGGTGTGTAGAATTTGCTATTCTGATTCTTAGAACTATGAGGAATTAACTCGCTTTAAGCTGGAGCAAAGCCAGAGGCATGCATCTATTCTTCTCCACATTCAACAGGAGCTTAATTTTTGCCTGGAGGGACATAGAGCAGGTCTTAACAAATCAGCTGAACTCAAGCTGTGAGTTTTTGAGACAAGACATCAGCCAGCTGTGCTTTGGTCATGCTGGGTCAACGCATGGCTGTAGTGGGAGAGGTTGGCTCCCTGTGTATGGCCAATGGCACAGTTCCCCCCGATGTAGGATGAACAGAGACGGTCTAAAAAGATTCCTGTGTAAACAGAGCTCAAACCTGGCCCAAGCTTTTGGAACAAACCTGCCTTGGTTTGTTAGATGCATGACTTAGTGGGTGTTTCTGAAGCAGGAGTGTCCCAGGTCCAGAGGTGAAGGCAGAGGTGAAGGGACTGCAGCAGCAAAGGTGCAGAGTGAAGGCATCTCCAGACCTCACATTTGCAGGTTGGAGCCTGCTGGGAGAGGATGTGACTACAGAACATACTCAGGTCAGGAGAGGAGGGGGAAAGAACAAAAGCAGTGCTTGATTGTTACGTGGTGAATGAAGATTGTGACTTATGGGCAAATATGTTATACCCATGATTCCTTCTTTCTGCCAGACTTGGATTTTCTAAGGCGTCTGCTTTCTGTGTTCTCAATTTGGGAGGAGAAAGCTGTGCTTTTGGTAATTGTGACTCAGCAGAGTTGTGATTTCCTTCAAAAACAGAAACTAAAGCAATAAATACCTCAGCAATGAGCAAGTCCTTTAAACAGTTGCTTTAAAAGGTATGAGAATGTTATATTGAAAGACACTATGTACTTTTTTTTCCCCCTCGCTTTATTATTATTTGAATCATCATAAGCCCTAAAGGTCACTACCGAGATTAACATTCAACATCACCAAGCCGTAGTGAAGCCAAGACCCTATTCAAGACAGGTTCAAAATGTCAAGTAATGAGAATAGAAAAAGGACCTGCAGGAAAAAGGGGCTGTGATTGTCTGAGGGTTTCAACGTGAGCGAGCAGCAGACCGAGGAAGAGACCCGGCGTCCTGCAGCTGAGAGCTGTGATTTTTCTTCCAGATTGCACAGCCTCTCTGTTATCTTTTCAGATCAGTTTCGTTGCCCTTTAGCTATTGTCACCCTCAGACCCAACACCATTTCTGACTGTGCTGGCCTTGTGCCAGAAGAAAGCGCTCTTTAGTTATTAGCATCAGAGGAATTTCTGAAGATGCAGTGCTTTAGTTTAGCACTCCTGAGTTTCAAGTCCTTCTTTAGCAGGGCCTTGGTTGGGGTGTGCCACTTTGGACCAGCTCCCTCCTCATTTTGATGTGGCTAATCGCAGCTGGAATGACTCATGCTCATACGTGCAAGCAGGGCTGGGAACCATCGGATCTCCCTCTGAATTTCTAGAACTCCTTGTTCCTGCTTGTTCCAACAATAACAAAGGAAAAGGCCTTTCTTTGGTGGCATTTTGGCTTTCTGCTGCAGTGAATCATGGAGAGGTATGTAGTAACGAGAGGAAACTTTTCAAAACTCATTGGCACTGGAAGGAGGCAAGTGTTTATTTTAACCCAGCTTGCTTACATTTTCCCCTCTCTTTTACAATTCCATTTGTAAAACATAATGTAAATTACTGACATAGTCTTAAATGTGCAAAGAGGACGAGCTTTTAGAAACTAATTGGATATTCAATTCTACATCTACTAAAATGCAAAATACTAAACCAGATTCCAGTATTCAGGCACTGTCTGAAGGACAAAGGATGTTAAAAACATTACAAATGAGCTAGCTTAATTTTTCAGTTTGTGATGGATTAGCTTTAACATGCATTTTAATTTGTAGTTGGATTTTATCAGCTGTAGACAAAGTTTGATAATCTCTTCTTGTTTAATTAACACAATCCTCTTAGGAGAGAGAAATGCACAGACAATAATAATTCTGTACATTTTATGACAGTTTCACACTGACAACCTGAAATATCTTTCTTTAAGACATACCTATGTGGGATTCTTTCAGAAATCTTTGCCTTCTCTGCTCGTAGTGGATGTCTGTGAATATGAGGGAAAAGAGAGAGGGAGCTCACATTATAAAGTGTTACCTCTGCGTAAAGAGCCAAGAGAATGTGTAAACAGACTGCATAAATAGCAGCCGGTTCCTTAGAAACCAGCAGGCACATCCTTAGAGACTCAGCTCTGTTACGCTCTTAAAATGTGAAGCAACTCATCCCCAGTGAGGCTTTGCTCTGCCTTTTCCCCATCATCATGCCATGGATGAGATCTGAATTCATCCCTTATTTCCCTCAGCGTTGGCTGTCTCTGCACAGGGGCTCACTTTTTGCTGCTGGTACAAAGGGAAGAAACTTCCTTGCCTTTGTGAAAGTTCCAGCCACTAGCTCCATCCTTTCTGCATTGCCTACACAGGCATGAGTTTATGATTGGACTTGATGATCTTATTGGTCTTTCCAACCTTAATGATTCTGTGATTCTATGACTGATTCTCTGCACTGATGTGCTGGGGGAGATGAGTCACCTCCACACCAGGAGCACCCAAAAGATACATTTTGGTGCAAGAACAGCATTGTTTCAAAGTTGAATATCAGCAAATCAGCTTTAGCCTCTGGAAACACAGGCCATGTGTCGTGTACACACACACGTGTTCAGCCATAGAAACCTGACATAAATATTTCAGTGCGTATTTTACACTGCAAGGTTTTTTAGGTCAGGCTTTAAGAGGATTGAATATATTTTTTCCCACTTGTGTTTTCCTTTGACTCTGCTTTTAGAAATCAAAATCTTCCTCTTTGATTCCTTCAAGCCCTAATGGCAAGTTAATGTTGTTGTGATAACTTGGGCTGTGCCTTTGGATCACATCAGAGTACACTTTTATTGCTGCTCCATCCCCAGCCCCAGGAGGCTGCTCTCTCTTGGGCTGTTGTCCATCCTGCCCTGCAGTTTCCAGGCTGGAGAGCTCTGCTCAGGAGAGGGGTCATTCTGGGCCATGGCTTCAGTTTGCTCATCCTGATCTCCTGGTGGAGTAACTGTGCTCTGACATTTGTGCTGGTTTATATCCTCTGCAATCAAATCTTGATTAAAACTCGTATTTATTGGGTTCCATCTGAGTGTTCCTCAATTTATGACAAATCCTTGATAAACCAGCACTGAATGAATTGAACCATGCTTTCACCTGGCTCGCAGTCTGCCCTGATCAGGAGCAATCTCCTTGATTTGACCCTCTCTGAATGTTGTATTTTGATCTTGAAAATCCCAAAGCCTCCTTAAAAAGTTTCAGTGTTCGGCCACATTCGAATATTCAAGATTGCAAGTGATGCAAAGCAGGAGGGCTGCTCGGTGCTGATGTGTTCCCTGCAGGGAGCTGGGCTCTTAATGGGGTGTAGAGTGGCTGCTGGACTGGGAAGAGGCATGGGGGCATCCAGCCATAGAGCTGCTTCCATCCTCTGCCACGAAGCTGAATGTCCTTGTGAGTGCAGTGCTGGAAATACTGCAAGGAATGCTCTTGATTAATTAGCTGTTAAAGCCTGGTTCCTCGATATTGTCTGATTCACACTGATGCCTCTGCCTTCTGTTCTCCAGAATTTTACCTTTGAAGTAACTTATTTGAAAAGTCATACTCTGCGTGCTGAGGCTCGGTGGACTGGGATCGCACTTCTTCACTTCCTCACGTCTCCTGATTATTCTTCTCTGGATCAAAATATGCATACATTGTTGCATTCCTTTGCTTAATCTCAGCAGGAAACTTCACTTTAAAGCACCTTCAGGTAATTACCACCCAGCCCTTCCAACGGCAGCGTTTCTGACATGGGACACGGCTTCCTGCATGTCAATATCCAGATCAAACAGCACTGAGGTATTGTTTCATCTTCTGGCGATGCTTGCGCTACTCCTGCATCAGGACAATGCCTGAAGAATGAGCTTTCCCTGTGTTTGGAGACCCCAGAGCAGAGTTTATCACTCGGAGCAGTGATTTATCACTGTCCACAGGGGATAAGGGGCCAAGGGAGGGTTCTCCCTGTAGGGTTCCCAAAGAAGGGCTGGAGCCCAGGGTAGAGCTTTACAGATAATAGCAAGTGTCCTCGCTTTTATTTGAGGTAGAACAGTTTATTCGTCTCCTGTATACACTGAGCAAGAGTTTATTCCCTGTCTTTATTCCTCTGTATTCCACTGCTTTCCTGCTTTGTGCAGTAATGATGTGTTAAGGCTCCCTGAGCTGTTCTTAGGCAGATCTTGCTGTTGGTTTACCTGTTTTTCTGCTGGCTGTGGTTGACAAAAGGAGTTAAGGGCTTCATTTGTAGAAGTGCTGTGATCCTGTGCGCAAGCTAGATAGAAAACCCAAGAATTCTGCTCACAGTGAATCACATCCTGCCTTTTCCCATCAGCAAATATTATTGCCATTATTATTATTATTAATTAAATGTTAGGACTATCAAGCAGTGATTTGCAGTGCAAGCATTAGGAGGCACAACTGAGCTCAGCTGACTTGATCCAGCAGAGGCAATGTGTGCATGCTAATGATTTCATTTCCTTATTTGTGTCCTGATATGCTTTGAAAGATAGATTAATGTTCTTTTATCTGATATCTGATGAATACCTTACATCCTCCATTAGGAACTCACCCTCTTCCCAAAACTATTGCTCACATCAGTCACTAGGAACGGTTAGAAATGTGCTGGTTAGAAATGTGCTGGTGCAGGGAACTGTAGTCTTCAGAGCTACGGATTATTTGATAATAGGAATTCTTTCCTTTTCACGCCTATGTGTGCAGCTACAACACTGTTTATATTCAGCTGATGAGCTTCAGTTGAAATATTTCTGGTATAAGTAAGAATTCACAGAAAAGTAGTTGCACATCTTGTGGTTTTTTTTTTTATCAGCACTTATATAGGAGGCTGTGTCTTTTACTAGTGTAAATAAACGGAATGATTGATGCTCTCTGGACATTTAGGGGCTGTCTTAAATGCAGTGCTAACATTTTCTCAACACAGCAACTTTTCTGAGAGGCATTTTATTTTGCACAACAAAAACGGGTTTTCTGCCTTGCCTTGCACACCCTCCCATCTCCATGGGCACTGTAACAGCCTTCCTTAGGAGGAACAGCCAACAGCAGCAGCTGCAGCTTTCAGAGCTGTGATGGAAAACCCAGTCTACACCATTCATAATAAAGATTTCTCTTTTTCTAGATGGTAAAATGTAAGAAACCACCACGTGGGGACAGCTGTGGGTCCATCCCATCCATTACCTGCTCCAGCAGCAGTCAGCACCAGGTGATGCTGTGAGCCCTCCAGATGTGTACCGCTGTAGCCCATCTCCAAGAAGCTGTTCTTCCCCATCATCCTCATGGTCTGATAGCAGTTACTGGTTTGTCAGAGGCAAACCACTGAGCTTTGCCCTGTGCTGTGGTTCCCTGTGCAGAAATGCAGGAGTAAGGGTTGCAAGCAGGTTGGCCCTCATGTTGACCACTAAATGCTGGGCTGCTTTACATGTCCTGATATGCCACTGGGTTGCCAAGTCACAGACATTGCCAAGATTAATGCAGGATGCATGCTTTTAGCAGCAAAGTCTTGCCCTACCTGTCTTTGCTTTCACATCCACACTCAGAAAATGAAGATAAGAATCCTCAATTCCCTCTGGACAGAACAGTGAGAGGTGTTTATGTGTCAAGCCCAGGGAACACAGAATTGTAAATATTTATTATAATGTTGCTAGGGAGGAAGAAAACAGACTGGAGGTGGTGACAGGAGGAAAGTGCCGCTTCAAGTCCACCTAATGAATGCCAAAGTCCAGGTCACTGTCAGCCTCTGCTGCTCCATGGGAAATACTATTGCTACTTTATTTTGTGTTACAGTAAGTTGAGGTTTGCAAGCACAGAGAAAGAGGTGGTCCAGGCCTGAAAGAGCTTTCTGTGCACCTGAGCAAGAGATGAAAAGCCAAGGAGAATGAGGTGACAGATGAGATGGTACAAGGGCAAAGCCCAGTCTCCTGCACCTCTGCCCATGTTCCATAGGAGCAAGCTCTTCCTCCAGCAACACATTGCACTAGGGAGATGATGGCTGAGACACACTGTCTAGGAATGTCCTTCTAAATGTTTTGTTGATGATGGTGCATCAAATGGCCAACTCTATCCAATGGGGTGTAGCAAAGCTCTATGGCAATGCCTGTATTTTTCCAAGGATTTTTTCTTGCATTTCTGCTCTGAATGCAGCCCAACAGTCCCCACATAGCCATGTGCTGTGGGAATGTCCTCCCAGGGCCTCCCAGTCCCAGATCCCAGGAATGGGATCTGCCATAGGTACTGCTGTGCTGCTGCTGGGAATGCCAAACCATCCCAGCCAGAGTTCTTCAGTGCCAAGGAGGGTTTGCACGGAGGTTTTAAATGGCATTATATCCAATACATTTTCAAATTAAGTATAAATAAAAAAAAAAAAAAAAAAGTCAGAGCAGGATGATATAAGTGGCCAGTAGTCTAGTTCCAGTTTTAGAGTGCAGTATTTCTGACAGTAAGTGTAGGTTTGTGGACAAAAGATCTTGTGATTTATTGAGCCATTAATTAATTAGGAGATTAAAGTAGGAGTAGCAAAAAAAACCAACAACAACAACAAAAAAACCTTAGAGTTAATGATAAATGCTGTAAAAGAGTGTAAGAAGATTCCTAATCCAGCTCACCCTTTATTCTTCCACAAAAACATTTAAAATACATTGAACTTTAAACCTGCTAAATCCTCTTCAGCAAAAAGACCTTAAACATACATAGAGACTGTTGTGGCCTTTCTTAGTCAGGTCAGATCTAACCGTGCAAAATACAATTTAAGCACTAAAATCTGTCTGCATCTCAGTTGCACTCCTCCTCCTCTGCATGCCTGAACTGTGCTCCTCACTGAGACCTTCCCATCCTGGTGCCTGCAGTTCTTCCACCCGTTCTCCTTGACATATCCTCTGTGATTCACATCTCTTTCTCTTCGCTCCTTAAGGGCCAGCTCCCTGCCCTCACATCATTGTTAGAAGGCTGTGTGGTTCCTGATACCTATCCCTCCAACATCTTCACTTTTGTGAAACAAGAAAATCCGATTCTTATCTTTTGCTAAGAGTTTTGTTCCTATTTCCCACAGGACTTTTTTTTTTTAGCAGCTTAATAGCCACAAGCTCTCTCTTTGCACTTGATAATCCCTTTGATCTTCTTCACTCATTGCTCGGCAGAGTGCCATAAAGATGGTACTACCTTTAATCTTTTTTGCCATTGATCAGTAATATTTCTGTCCGCTGCTCCTCTGTGATTCGTTTGCTGAAATTGCCACTGCATTTCCTCTGCGTGTTCTTGGAAGAAGTGTCATAACAAGGGTAGGGTTTCAGGAGAAGATCACAGTTGCTGGAATGAGCACTGTTTGAGGAGAAAGGTTATGCCCAGTAGTAACAATATCAGAGGTGTCACATATATGTGCTGTGGAGTATTTTTCTAAGAAAACGTTGTCTGATCTGTCTGTAAATGGCTTGAGGATAAAGTTGCATCCTATTACAAGACAAATACGATGTTTACAGGAGCAAATCATAACAAATTCAACCAGAGATCCAAGAGAGCACCTTGCTTTCCTTTTTCATGAAGTTGGGCATTGCCCAGAGCAGATGAGCTGATGATGTGCCAGGAGATAACAAGGGCTGCAAAGTAAAACCCAACCTTTCTTCCACATTATCATTGCCAACAGCACCAGCAATAATAATAATAATTAAAAAAAAAAAAAAAGCACTGAAGAAAGTGAGACCAACAGGACTCAGAGCTTCACAAAAAGGAGGCACCAGATCAAGGAGCAATGCTGTGCATATCTTCATTATCCTGGATATAATTACGCTTCACTATGATTGTGCCTCACCCATTGCATTTTGCATACAGATTTTTAATCTTCTGCACTGTGAGGACGGTAGGGAGAAGAGGGAGAAGATTTGGTTTTGCCCCTCTTAAGTATCTGGAATCTGCAAAAGTATAATTCAAATGAGTCAGAATTTTGAATGCTCTAAGGAACAACCACAGTTACAGACTTTTATGAGACTGAGATTGCAATGCAGAAGTGGGACAAATGATTTTATGTTAATCTGATAATTGTTAAAAAAGGATAGAGCCTGAGGTGGTGCATTCTGCTCACGGTCTGCTGTGCTCTGTAGGAAATGGAAGAGGGTCTCCAAGACCTCATTTAAACTAGTAAAGAACTTTCGGCTTGTTTGAATTCCAAGCAAGTAGGAGCCATTTGCATGACTGAAGGTCTTGCATTCCCCTAGGAAGAAGTCTCTTCCCTGAAGCCTTGTGTTAGGACTTATTTTGTAACCAGCAGCAAAGCCGCTTTTCTCTACCCGCTCAGTGGCTTCTCATGCTGACATGCCAGTTTGTGATGTATAGCAGAGTGTCATCTGCACAGAGAGAAATTCTGCTCTCCACTCCCTTTGCATTTATACCTTGTGTCTATGAGTTATTGCATATTTTCACGGCCAAGGTCTTGATTGCCTGAGAAAAAAGTAATGGATGTATGGGAAATCCAGCTTCTCCCCAGGATCTTGAAGTTGGCTATTCAAAACATCCACCCATTTCATGTAGAAGAGAAGTAAGGACAATGCTTAATACACTACTTAAATTCACTTCTTAATCCCAGACAATTCAGTTCTATAAGGCAGTGAAGCCCTCTTACTCCCAACCTCCTCCTCAGGATAATTACCACTGCTGCCACTTTTGTCACCTTCACACCTGGAGCTCCAGCCACATAACTGATATCTTCTAAAAATGAGACACACTTCATCTAAAGGGAAAGGTGAGGGGGATCTGCCAAGATCGCACAACTCAGCAGGGCTAAAACTTGCAATTTGCTGGGTCCCAGTGCAGCACCCTCTTCTCCCAGATAAGGGTGATAGGATAATAGGTAATTGATTCAAGTTGCACCAGGAGAGGTTCATGTGGGGTGTTTGGAAGAATTTCTTCTCTGGAAGAGTGGTGAGGCGCAGGCAGAGCTGCTCAGAGAGATGGGGGAGTCACTGACCCAGGAGGTATTCAAGAAAAGTGGAGATGTGGCACAGAAGGACGTGGTTACTGGGCACAATGGGGATGGGCTGAGTTGGATTTGGTGATTTAGAAGTCTTTTCCAACCTTAATGATTCTATGACTCCGTGATCAAGAAGGGGCAGAAGTAGAGGTGATGCAGGAGCAACTCTGTACTTCTGTATGTTCCTCAGCTTGGAAAAAAAAAACGAGGGGTTTTCAGGCAGACCAAGATCCCATCTGGGACCTGAAAAGTGCAATTGCAGCACAGTTACAGACCAGAGCTGGGGTGGTGAAGGCCGTCCATCTGCCCACAGCCCACTGGATCACTGTCAGCCCTGCTGTGCTGCCCACCCTGGCAGGCAGAGGCATGATCAACTGTTCAGCAAAGCTGCAGGGTTCACTTTTAGCATCATTTGCTGTTTCTTGAATTATTTACTGCAATTATGCTGCTGATCCACAGACGCATTGCTGCTGTGCATCATATCCAGATGTCTGCTAAAGCACTCCCAGGGCCAGATCCTAATTTTAGCTCCATCTGCAAAATATTCTCCTCTGGACTGGGGCCCTCTTTCTGTTTGTGTTGAACTCTGCAGCTAAGCAGACTGCTGCTTTGCAGAGCTCAGTTCTGTTCCTTTAACAAAGGGATCAGTGAAGAGCCAGGTTTTACCTGTGCAAGTTGAAAACAAGGCAGGCCTCCTCAGCATCCCCAAAAAACACAGGAGCCGGAGGTCTGGAGCCAGGGCAGAGACAAGGGGAAAGCTCCTTGGCACTGAGGACATTCCGGTTATGAACAAGTCACAAATGCCCAGATAAATCCAAACCTTCTCTGGCATGCATTGGGTAGTTGCTTTGCCTCATCCTTGCTCTGTGTGGGGGAAAAGTCCTGAAAGTGCAAGTCCTAACCAAACCTTTGGGAGCACACGGGAGCTGCAAATGGTCTTTACAGTGCAGAAAGTTTGGGTCACCTTGTGGCCATCTATCACAGGGCAGAAACCTGGAATTTTAATGGTCAGAACAGTGATACTCACAAAAGCTAAAACATAGAATCACAGAACTGTTCAGTTGGAAAGGACCTTTAAAGGTCATCCAGTCCAACTCCCTTGCTATGAACACGGACAGTACAGCCAAGTCAGGTGCTCAGAGCCCGGTCCAGCCTGACCTTGAGTGTCTCCAGGGATGGGGCATCCACCACCTCTCTGAGCAACCCATGCCAGTGTCTTATCATAAAAAGCTTTTTCCTTATCTCTAGTCTAAATCTCCTC